TTTTTTTTTTTTTTCCCCCAACCTATCTAGGAATTTTCCCTCCCCTCCTCTCCTTCCCTGGTAACCAACAAAGTTTCCTTCCATGTATAAACCTTTCCTTGACTTTTTACATTAGTGGACTAAAACAGTATTCGTCCTTCTGTGACTGACTTACTTCACTCAGCACACTGTCCTCCATGTTTGTCCATGTTATGTGGTGTTTTGTAGATTCTACATTATTCTTTAGTGTTGCACAGTATTCCATCGTTGGTGTATACCAGTTTATCCATTCCTTAGCTGACCGGCACTTAGGCTGTTCCCATCTCTTTGCCATTGTGAATACTGCTATGATGAACATGGGTGTACATATATCTATTTATGTCCTGCCTCTCTCTTCCTTAGGATATATGCCTAGTAATGCAATTACTGGATCAAATGGTATTTCTATTTCCAACTTTTAAGGAACAGCCATACTGATTTCCATAGTGTTACATCACTTGACAGTCCCACCAGCAGTGTATGAGAGTCCCAATCTCTCCACATCCTCATCAGCATTTGTTATTTTCTGTCTTGTTGAACTTTGGTATTAGAGCTATAGTAAGATGGTATCTCGTGGTTGATTTGATCTGCATCTAACAGGTAACGATTTTATGTGAATTACATTTATCTATATAAATTCACTGTATTAGAAATTACAGCTGAGAATTAAAAACCAACAAACTAGTAGCTCATTAAAACAATGCTGTCTATATATTTTTTGAAAATAACAATATAATGAGAAGACTGGCATTATTTTGCATTTTCGTATCTCTCTGTGATGTCTGACTTAGCAATCAGTCGATTTCTCATAGTGATTTCAGCATTCCACCTATTACAACATACTGCTATGGTTGAAGGATATGAAGAAATTCTGGAAAGATATAAGGTAGCAGAGGGAGGAGTATCTTAATAGCCTTTGCAGATAATTGTGGGTATCTTTTTTTGCTACTATCCCAAAACTTGAAAAAGTAGTAGTTTCTTAAGTTAGCTTGCAACGTGGTGTCTGAAACCCTATCAACAAACCTTTTTGTATTATCTTATTTGAAAATCCACTGGTCTTGTACTTTGAATGGATCTTTTACCCACAACTGATTTTTCATTTGAAGAAATATTGGTTCAGTGAATTATACATATCATCTAAATCTTGACCCATTTCATTATATAATTAAAAAAATGTATGTATCATTCACTATATCACTATTGATCTCCTCAGGAAACTCTACATACTGGGACACTGCCAAAGTCACATGCTGAACCTAAGTATTCCAAATTACAATTTTTGCCTGAAATCTTTAATTATACTATCAGCAATAAGTACTGTTAGCTGTTTTCCTTGAATGACAGGCTTACTTCATTTATGTTCAAGAAAATATGTTTCTTAAATGAAACAAATATACAAGCGCTTTCCAGAGACAACCATCCAACTTGGGTATGCAGAAGTATCTGCTTCATGTGAACTTCCTATTGTCACCCAAATATTAAGATGTATACTCAAGGAGTGATATCTAAAAAAATTAATTTTTTTCTTTTTTTTTAACTGTATCATCAAGGATGTTCTTAAGTAAAACTGGTACATATATGCCTAATTTGACTGCTAACCAGGTTGACAGTTCAAACCCACTGGCCACTGCACAGAAGGAAGATGGGGCAATCTACTTCCGTAAAGATTTGCTGCCTTGGAAACCCAATGGGGATTGCCTTGAGTCAGAATCAACTCAACAGCAGTGAGTGTGTTTTTTTTTCATAGTGCTAGCAGAGTGCAAATGGTTAGGACACTCAGCTACTAACCAAAGGACTGGAGGTTTGAGTCTACCTAGAGGGCCCTTAGAAGAAAGGTCTGATGGTTTATTTTATAAAAAAAATCTGCCACAACGTAACCCTTACTTACGAAAAGACCCCAGCACCTAACTCTTACTCATGAAAGCCCCCAACCATTTCCTGCCCACTATGTTAATGAAGTGCTTCAGCTCTGCCTCCTGCCCCCATGCTAATAGGGTGCTTTAACCTTATTGGTTCCTGTAACACATACCCTGCTCTCAATCCGGTTCACTGAGGAACAGGAAAAGTAACACTATAAAAACCCTTTTACCCGGGCAGCGCAACTTCTCGGGCCCCTCTCAGGGACCTGTGAACCTTGCCCTGGACCCTCTTGGTGACCCATGAACCTCGCCTCGAGGTGCAGAATAAACCTTTCCTTGCTCTTAAAAAAAAAAAAAATCTGCCACAGAAGACCCTATGGAGCACAGTGTTACTCTGACACACATGAGGTCATCATGAGTCAGAGCTGACAAAGGCAACTGGTGGTAGTGGTGGTGGATGGTGCCAGAAGTACAAATGTTAATACAATTTAAAAAGCAAATAATGCTTTAGTGTTATTATGGAAATATAGGTAGTCTCCAATTCAGTTATACTTTGTCTAAGTATGATGAGTCATACTTAAAGTAATAATTTTTCTTTCATACATTTTATCATTAGTAGTATGTACTGTATTAGCAGGAACTCTGGTGGAACAATGATTTAAGCACTTGGCTGCCAACCTAAAAGTCGGTGGTTTGAACCCACCAACCACGGCATGAAAGAAAGATGAGGCAGTCTGCTTTTGTAAACATTTATAGCCTTCAAACCCTATGGGGCAGTTCTACTGTCTTATAAGGTTACTATGAGTCGGAATCAACAACAACAGGCTTGGTTTTTTGTTATCATTCTCAGATGTTCATTTGCTGGCAAATAATGATCAGATTTATAAAGATACCAATAATAAAAAGAAAAAAAGACATTCTACTTCATCAGAACCAACTTAAGATGGAGTTGCTGGAACAGAACTCTTGCCCTTGTCTTAAGTCGGAAATCATCCATGGACCACACTGCAAGAACCACTGGTCTGATAAATGTCTTACTTATTCTGGAGTAAGGAGTTTTGGTGGTGTAGTGCTTAAAGCATGTGGCTGCTAATCAAAAGATTGATGGTTGACCAGGCGCTCCACAGGAGAAAGATAAGGCAGTCTGGTATCATGATTTATAGGCTTGGAAATCCTATGGGGCACTTCTACTCTGTCCTAAAGGGTCACCAGGGATTGACTCAGTGGCAGTGGGTTTGTGTTTTCCGTTTTAAGAAGAATTAACTTTACCTGAAGAATGTCTGGTCTTTGTCCCTAGTTCCTTGTGGGTAACCTCTGAAGCCTTTGGAATTTCCCCAGTGACTGAAGTCTGTTATTCATGTAGGCTCTAAGGAGAGGATCAAGATGGGGATGGCCATACCAGAAAGACCCACCAAGTAGTGGTGCTCCAGGGAGGGTATGGGAGGGAGGCAGGGCTGGAAGACCAGTTCAATCTCAAGGCTAATGATTTAATCAATCATGCCTATATAATGAGACCCCAATAAAAATTCTGGACACCAAAGTTCAGGTGAGCTTCCCTGACTGACAATACTTCAATACTCAGTGTGCCAGTAGGATGATGGGCTCTGACTCCATGGGGAGAGGGCACAGAAGCTTCCTATTTGGGAACCCCTCTCATCAGACCTCATCCCATGCATCTCCTGTTTTATATCCTTTTTGGTATGATAAAAATTAGAATTGTAACAGTGGTAGTTATGTTTGTGTGTCAACTTGGCTGGCCTGGTTGAATGGTTGGGCAGCTGGTGGTAGTTATTCCCCATGATGAGACTGGCAATCAACTCCATGATGGGATCTACCACAAGCAGCTGAGTAGCTGCTTTTGGGATGTGGTCTGCTTCCTGTATTTAAGGAGAAACCTTGGGAATGGTCTCTAGCCTATGGCATGCTTGGACCCTGCATGTAGCTGTGTCATTGCTCAGCAGCCTGCTATGCTCTGCCGACCTTGGGACTTACAATGGACTTAAGTTAATGGCCTGCTGTGTGGTTTGGTAACATCAGGACTGTGCCTTTTTACCTGTCAATCTTGGGGCTTCTCAGCCTCAGCAGCCAGCAGCTGTCTGAGTGAAGAAATGCCTCTAGTTCCAGTGGGCCGGGAGCAGGAGGCAGAGCTGGACCCCAAGGTTGAGGGGCTTTCACCCAGCCCCTAGAGCCTGGCACTTTGAACTTGGACTTAAAGCCTCCAAACTGTAAGAATAAACTCCTATTTGTTAAGGCCATCCCATTTGTGGTATATTCTTGTCAGAGTGGCACTAGATAACCAGAACAGTAACCATAGTGCTTTTCTGAGTTCTAGGAATTGTTCTTATAGATTATTAAGCCTGATAGGAGAGTAGGAATATCCCATTTTGTAGTCAGAGGTGAGAGTGACTCTGAGAATCCCTCAACTTGCAGCTGGTGCCTTAAATCTTGGGCAAGTTGGCAGTCTAGAAGGCTGTGTGTGCCCATAATCTGTGAAATTCAGCCAACTCTAAGTAGTTGGTGTCAGAGGTCATTTGCACACTCTTAGCTCAGACCTTATTTTCCAAGGAAACTTTTCCTGAGCTGCCAACCTAGGTGTCTAGGTTCAGTATTTTTCACTCACTATTATGGTCTCAGAGTGCTTGGGTGATACAGTTTATACATTCAGCTGCTGCCAGAAAGGGTGGAGGTTCGAATCTACCTAGAGATGTCCCAGATGAAAGGCCTGGGGATCTATTTCTGAAAAATCAACAACTGAAAACCCCTGTTGTTGCTACCACTGAATTGGCTCTGACTCACAGCGACCCTATGCACAACAGAACGAAACATATGGAGCATAATTCTACTCTGACATACTTGATGGCGACTGGTTTTATTATGTTTCCAATGACCAACATGCTGGCTGACACAAAGTTGGTACACAAGTAATTAGAATAGCTAACAATTATCAAAAACTCACAATGTGAGACTCTGTTTGCTAGAGTGATAAACATGCAGTATTTCACTTAGTGCTCCCAATAATCTTTTGAGGTTGGTACTATTATATCACACCAGGTTTAAAGATGAAGAAAGAAGTTTTGCAGGATTAAGACACTTGCGTAAAGATAAAGCAAGAGAGGCTAAGATTAGGGTCCCAGGTTGATTTTTGAGCCTATTTAATGATTAAAGCTGGCATATACATGAATAAACCTCCACATGGTTACCTTTAGAGTTTGGTTTCACTCTATGCTATGAAATAATCATTGCTTCAATTTTCACACAAAAAAACTCACACTCCTGTAACTGAAAAATTACATCAAATACTTCCTTCATCTTCAAAGAGCACTTAAAGGGATTCTGTGCATATTAGGTTAGATGGTAAAGAGGCACTATTGTCATTCTTGAGCCAGAACCTCTAAAATGTTTTCTAATTATTTTCATAACATTAATTTCAATAAAGAACAGAAGGCCGTCTTCTGACCTGATCTGCGTTCTCTGCCAGGTATCTGACCAGACTGCAGCAACCCCTTCAGTCTCTCTACTTCAGCCAGAGTTGATGCATTTGCTATAGCATTCTGGAATAGAAATAGCTAATTAATTTAAACACCAACAAAAAGTCACAGCAACTTTTCAAGTTAGAACATTAAATAGTAGGTACATTGAAATCTGCCCAGAAACCAGATCACACATTTCCAAAATTATAAAGAGAAGTTGGCCCTCTTGTGAAGACAGCAAATAATTATTCCAAGTGCCCTAAAATTTTAGCTAATTTAAGTACTTTTTTGGTATCATATTACTGGTAACTTAGGAGGCAATATTATAAAATTATGATTTCCCACTGATATCCTCAAACAGGATCCACCAGATAGGAAATATTTGAAAGCAAAAACACTGATGCAGCATACCAAGGCAATTGTTCAAAAGTGTCCCATAATGAATGCATTCTGGGAAGATGAGATACAATTATTATGGCCCTGACCTGACTAAGGAACTCTGGTGGCACAGTGGTTAAAGCATTTGGCTGCTAACCCAAAGGTTGGTGGTTCAAACCCATCAGCCACTCCGTGGGAGAAAGATGAGGCAGTCTACTTCCATAAAGATTTATAATCTTGGAAAACCTATATGGCAGTTCTACTTTGTCCAGTAGGGTCACCACGTGTCAGAATCTACTCGATGGCAATGGGTACTATGTTTTTGCTTTTATTGGCCATGGTAAGTATAATTAATTCAAGTCAAAATCTGGTCAAATAGTAATTTTAAACTAGTTTTTCTTTAACAGAAGTATGGCTGATTCTAATAATTGGAAATGGAATCTACACTGTTCAGAACTTGGTTTTGCACCTTGTATCCTAAATTCCATCTCAGCTTTCTTCAATCCAAGTGTCGTAAACATTACCTTAATTGCTTCTACATCCCCTGGAGATGGCCCACCTTTCTTTTTGTCAGTTGGCAAACCAGCACCTGGATTAAAACTTGAGAGGGGGGAAGAATATAACTGTTAAATCCATATCATAGAAATTGCTTCTCTTTTACTTTCAAAAGCTTTTGAAAGTAATTCAACCAGTGTAGTATCTTATCTTTGTTAACAAACTGATACAAGAACTCTCTTCTTCAGAAACACTACGCAGTTCACCTTCCTATAGAGAAAGTAGGATGTATATAGTATCACATTAGGACTGAATATAGAAATATCTGCTTTGCTGACCTGGAAATTTCATGGATGTATGGAACATCAATGGTGTCACCAACCACGAGCACCCAAATTTAATACCACATTAATCATAGCCATTCTGTTCAATTTTGTAGGAGGCAAACTGCCCAACAGTGTTTCTGAAGGTGAAGTGGAGTTAAGTTGGATCTGTATCTTACGTTTTGCTTCTCCTGGCAATATCCTTTGCAAGTTGTGCACCCCGTTTGCCCTTGAACATTTTCTCTGCTTCCTGACGCTCCTACAGCAACACCACACACAGAGTTAATGGAAACAGGAATAGCACATGCATTTAGATGCATTCCTCAGAAAACACGGAAGAAAGCTACCCTGAAATATTCTGGACTGGTTAAAATATCAAGTCATTTGGAATTAAAAGTGGACACATTGGTCTTGCTTTCTCTGGTTAAGTATCCTGAAGTCCCTTCTCCTGGTTCCAAGGAGGGGCCTCTTAAAGAACTAAGAAGGCAAAAGCAAAAAAACTTCCTAAAAAAGAAAGCATTCTAACAATTATAGCTCCTCAAAAATGAAATATTGTAATAAGCTCTCCACCAGAAACACATCTAAGCACCCTGGTAACAGTGTTCACTGTGGCTCTGACATTTTATACTTTTGGAATGACCAATACTATGTAAAAGAGCTTTAACTCAAAGTCCTACCATAAACTCTGCTGTGAAATGTCAAGATCTTCTTTCCCACATTTTAAGAACAAATTAATAGTAAAGTTTACTCAATTAGGCAATTGAGAAAAATCAGTAGCAAAAATATAAAGGAAAACACACAACTCCACAATGACTCCCAATCAAAAGAATACTAATACTTACTTTAAGTTTCACTTTCTGGAAATCCAGTACTCTGATTTGTGGAACTTTATAAATTACATACAGTCTGTAGTGCTTCTTATTTGTTACAGGATTTCGTAGAATACTACAAGAAAAGCAACAATATAATGCTAGACTCATTTATAGCACAGCATTCAAGGCCCATTTTAATAAAGTCTATTGCATGTGTCAATCAAGGAAAATCTCACTATTCTCTATATTTTTCAATTTCATAACAACCAAAGTAATGCTGTTAGGTGTTGTCAAGTTGATTTCAACTCAGAGGCCCCATGTGACAGAGTAAAACTGCCTGATAGGGTTTTTTTGGCTATAATCTTTATGGAATTAGATTTCCAATTCTTTCTCCTGTGGAGTCACTGGATGAGTCTGAACTGCCAACCTTTCCGTTAGCAGCCAAGCAATTAACTGTTGTACCACCAGGGCTCCTTAAGTAACAATAGGGACACTTTAACAGAGAACAGGGGTCCAAAGGAACATTTTCAATATTTATTGTTAAAAGGTACTTTTTTTAGTAAATGATTGTTTAAAAGTCAAGGCCAGTAAATGTGTTATTTTAAAGGACTTTATTAGTTTTGCCACTGCCACAAATAATTTACAAACCTTAGATAAGTCAGTGATTTGAGAGATGCCAAAGGGTCCAGATCACCCTGTAAAATAACCACCACAGGTAAGAATGCTAATAATACATGCTCTAGTTTGATACTTTGAAATAGCAGGTGCCTATGGAGCAAGACCACATTTTGTCCTTTATTTATTGTTCCAGTACCTAGCACACGACTAGCACATTATAAAACTAAAAACCAAACTCACTGCTGTCTAGTCAGATCTGACTCATAGCGACCCCTCCTTGGTTTTCTGAGGTGGTATCACTACGGAAGTAGATTGACCAACCTTCCTTCCAAGGAGGGGCTGATGGGTATAAACCACCAGGCTTCTAGTCAGCAAATACCTTAGGCACTACACTACACCACCAGAGCTCTTACTAACACATTATAGATGCTGAATAAACTGGTGAATACATTTGAGCTTCTTAAAATTAAATCTTTGGCATTAACAGTTACTGTATCAATAGTAGAGAGACAAAAGAATTGATTTCCTATAGCAATCTCCAAAACACTACTGAGCTTACAGCAGTGATTTAGAAAAGAGAGCAATGTTAAAGTTGATATGGCTCTGAACCAAGTTATTCACATAGAGAACCTTAAGTGAACCTGATTTTAAGATAGATCATCTTTCCCAGACAAAGCCCTACATGGGTGGAACTGCTGGCAACAAATCCAAATTGAGTAGGACAGGGATGAAAGAGACAAAAGTTAAAGAGTGAAAATACAAAAGACAAGAGTGAAAGTAAGGGAAGGGAACAGAGCTAGGAATTCTCAGAAAGTACCAGTACCAGCTGCCATCAAGTCAATTCTTGACTCACAGTGACCCTACCGTGTGTCAGAGTAGAACTGTGCTCCACAGTTTTCAATGGCTAATTTCAAGAAGTAGACTGCTAGGACCTTCTTCTGAGGCACCTCTGGGTGGACTTGAACCGTAAACCTTGTAGTTATTAGCACACCAAGTCAAGGGTAGTTTTTAAAAACTACACAAAGACCACCAGAGGGCGCTCCAGAGTGTATGCTAAATGAAATCAAAAGGATGATCCAAAACAGAACAGATAAAAAGTGGTAATTTTATTACATACAGACTAACTCAAAACAAAATGGTGTCTTGTTGGTTTTAAAGAAAGAATAAACACATAACAAACTGGCAGTGAAGTGAAATGTTTAGGGTCCCTGCATTACTTAGGAGGGTAAAGTTATCAACTTATAGAAAGCCCCAGAAACCACAGAAGACAAATTCAAATATACTAGTAAACACTACATTAGAAGACTGGATTAAAACCAACTAATCAACAACAAACTTCCCCAATGATATGTTGTTTTCAAGAGTTAAATCTAAAATATCCAGAAAAGTTGAAAGTAAATTTTGGATGGAAAACATTTATCATGCAAATACTAACCAAAGAAAGTTTGTTTTGGTCTATTAGTATCAAATCAAATAGACATCAAAGTAAAGAAACGTTACTAGAGGTAAAGAGGGTTACAATATAATAAAAGTTTCAGTGTACCAGAAAGTAATAATTTAAAATTTATGTTAAGTAATAATAACCTCAAAATATATAAAACTAAGATTGACAGAACTCTAAGGAGATAAGTCAAATCCACCATCATAATGTGAGATTTTTAACACATCTTCATCAGCTTTAAGTACAATCATAATTTCTCTAACAGCTCCTATCACACAACACATTCTCTAAGAACGTTCATCTTGGGTTGAAAACCTTATACATTTTACTTTAAGGCAGTATGCATTTGGGAAAAGGGTATGTTCCTTGTGCTTGACTGAACCAGATGACACCTGGGCACCAGAGTGGGCACCCTGAGTTGTCTTCCTCACACATTTTAGAAAGGAGATAGCCTCAGAGCGGTGTTTTCTTACTTTTGGAGGAAAGCACCCCTTTGAAAATCTGAGGGAAGCTATGGACTTAGTTCACAGGAAAAGGAATATACTGCTCATTCTAAACAATCACAGTATTAGAGAAAGAAGGTCATAATAATCCATAATCAAGTTACATAAAATCCATGTGATGTTTAAGTGAAAAAAAATCACATATATTTTAAAATTTTCAGTAGCACATTAAAATAGAAGAAACTAACAGGTGAAACTACTTTTAATGTTGTTGAGTGGATTTTGATTCATAGTGACCCCATGTAACAGAGCAAAGATGCCCCATAGGTTTTCTAGGCTGTAGTATCTATGGGAGTAGCTCTCCAGGTCTTTCTTTTGCAGAGCCACTGGGTATTAACCTTTTGGTTAGGAGCTGAGTGCTCAACCAGGGCTCCTTTACTAATTTTAATAACATATTTTATTTAATTCAATATCTAAAGAATTATCATCCCAATGTAATCAACATAAAATATTGAGATAGTTTATATTATTTTATGGTACTGTTGTCAAAATGCAATGTCTATTTTACACTGCTAAAACATCTCAATTAAAACTACCTGTATGTGGCTAAAAGCCTTATGTGGTACAGTGATTAGTGTTTGGCAGCTACCCAAAGATTAGCCTCTCTGCAGGAGAAAGATGTGGCAGTCTGCTTCCATAAAGATTTACAGCCTTGGAAATTCTATGGGGCAGTTTCTGTCTTATGAGTCGGAATCAGCAACACATTTGGTTTTGGTTAGTGGCTACCATAATGGACACTGAACTTCTAGAAAACAACATAGGAGGGATTTTTAATGACCCTTGGGCAGGAATAGCTTAAATAGAACATCAAAAGCACTAACAGTAAGGGAAAAGTTTGATAATTTGGACTACACTTAAATTTGGAACTTCTCTATCAAATACCCTAAAAGGCAAGCCGCAGAGCAGGGGGAGATATTTGCAATATATATAACCAGATCTTGAATTGAGAAAAAGGTAGATATAATTCACTGATCCCCCCCACCAATTTTCTATAAGATGTATGTAGTACCTTTAACCCCTGCCACCAATATATTTCTGCTTGTTCAACTTACCAGTTCCACAAGACTGTTGTTGGTGAGAATGAGTTCTGTCAAACAGGGTAGGGACTGATCAAGTCCCTCACCTATACGGCTAAAATAAAAATAGAACGATTATTTTAATAAAAGTGAAAATCAAGTAAGCTAATGATTTGATCAAAGTCCTTACTCCAAAGATTAAAGGTTTCAGTGTTGGAAGGAACCTTCTCTAAGGTTCTTCCAACATTCCAACATTCTACCTCACCAGAGGTAAATGAGGTACTTTATTCAAGGCTGTGAGATTGACATGATTTTAGAACCATGCCTCCTGAAAGCTAACCTAGGACTCTCTCCAATACCACAGTCCTAGTGAAATCTAGGAAAAAGAGAGACTCCTGAGTAGAACTAACTACTTAACAGTTCACTTTATGACTTTTCCAGGCATGTTGCACAGAAACACACGATTCTGCATTCACAGTTCAGCTACAAGACATAACAACAACTATACTATAAATGAATAATTTATGTGAAATATGCTTATTTTAAAAACGAAAACTATACCATCCAGTACTTCCTATAGACATTTATCTATAGATCTCCATTAACTTTTCCCTATATTCTAGAAATCAGTTGTCATTAAAGAAATACAAATGCCAGAGGACATGAAGTAAGAGACATTCAAAACACACTTACCATATTCTGTTGTTGTTCACTAATAATGTTTTCAGTCTTCTTAACAGAGGAAAACCATCCAGTTTTCTGATTTCATTGTCAGAAAAATCAATAGCATCAAATTGGTCTAAGGTAGCACCTAGATTCTCAATGACAGGAATTTTATAACCTGTTTAAAAAAAAATGAGGGGGTAGGAAACAAGAAGTTATATTATCCTAATTTAAATGTACTCTGTAACACTGTTTCATGGTAATTTTACTCAGGTCTTTCATTCATTGAAGTGTTTCCCTGACACTCAGGATGCATCAAACATTGTGCTAAGTACTAGAGATGAGATGTTGAACAAGAAGTCACAGGCCCTAGCTGCCAGGAAGTATACAACCTAGCAGTGGACATGGAGATGACAATGATGATGGCAATGAGAACAAGTGCAAGGGCTATAGTAATGAGGGTACCAAAACCAGATCAATCAAGCCGATTCTGACTCTTAGCAACCCAAGGCTGTAAATCTTTACAGAAGTAGACTGCCTTACTTTCTACCACAGAGTGGCTGGTGGGTTTGAACCACTGACCTACTGGCTAGCAGCCAAATGCCTTAACGACTACACCACTGAGCATACTTACTGATTGTAGTGGTTATGTTTTTGTGTCAACTTGGCTGGGACTGTTTGAGTGGAAGGTGGTGGTAGTTATTCCCCATGATGAGACTGGCAATCAACTCCATGGTGGGATCTACCACAAGCAGCTGAGTAGCTGCCTTTGGGATGTGGTCTGCTTTCTGTATTTAAGGAGAAGCCTTGGGAATGGTCTCTAGCCTATGGCATGCTTGGACCCTGCATGTAGCTATGTCATTGCTCAGCAGCCTGCTATGTATGCTCTGCTGACCTTGGGACTTACAATGGACCTAAGTTAATGGCCTGCTGTGTGGTTTGGTAACATTGGGACTGTGCCATTTTACTTGTCAACCTTGGGATTCTCAGCCTCAGCAGCCAGGAGCTGTCTGAGTGAAGAAACACCTCTAGCTCCAGTGGGCCAGGAGCAGGAGGCAGAGCTGGACCCCAAGATTGTGGGGCTTTCATCCAGCCCCTAGAGCCTGGCACTTTGAACTTGGACTTAAAGCCTCCAAATTGCAAGAATAAACTCCTGTTTGTTAAGGCCATCCCATTTGCAGTATATTTCTTGTCTGAGTAGCACTAGGTAACAGACACGGATAATATCACTAATTACCATTTATAAGAATATTTACAAGGTGCTTCACATTGTTTAAGGAGCGTATGTGGTTTTTCTCATTTTCCCCTACAAGTTAAGACGTAAGTTCTTCATTAAAAATGAGGAAATGGAAGCTCTATGACTTAATCAAGGTTCTACAGCTGTGCTAGATCTAGAAGGAAAGAAATCTAGTGTTTAAACATAAAATTCGGAGTTGTAAAGTTTGTATCACAGCAAATACTGCTGTGTATATTCTCAAGAACAAAAATATATACATACATTTTTACAAAGTAAATATTGCACCAAATCTAGTATCCTCAACATGGGTGCAATTCTGAAACAGAGATAAGGCAGAGAGCCACATGCACCAAGATAGTGGGACTGCTGAGTTACCAATGAACTGAAACTTTGTTTAAGAAAGGTGACTTCAACAAAATGAAAGCACTGAGATTTCCCCAAAGTCAGCAAGGTATCTAAGCAGAAAGTAAGAACAATGATGCTCCCCAGATGATATTCCATATAGCAAGACCAGAACTGGATAATCTTGATTCCCAAAAAAGCTGCTCTTCCATCCTTTCTGAAGCCATCTCCTGAAATGCTAACTAGTTAACTGCACTTCCACTTTCTTATCAAGCCTAAAGCCAAACCCACTACCATAGAGTCAATTCCAATTCATATCGACTCTGTAGGGGAGAGTAGAACTACCCCACAGGGTTTCTTAAGGCCCTAAATCTTAACGAAAGCAGACTGCCTCAACTTTCTCCTTCTGACAGTTCGAACTGCCAACCTTTTGGTTAGCAGCTCAACGCTTTAACCACAGCGCCCTTGTCTAACTAAACCAAAAATCCAAACTCACTGCCGTGGAGTCGTATCCAACTCATAGCGACCCCTCCTCGGATTTCCGAGGCGGTTATCACTATGTAAGTATATTTCCCAATCTTTCTTCCCAGGAGTGGCTGGTGGGCTTGAACCGCCAGGCTTCTGGTTAGCAGTACGCCATGAGAGCTCCTCCTAATCTAACTAGCGGTGAAATACCCATAGGAATCAGAATAGTTCTGTCTTCCACCACCTACACCGTCGGATTCATTGAACAGTTCAGTGCCCTGTGGTGGTAGTTAGAACGATCCTGGACCAAGTCTTAGTTAAACACTTCAACTTTTAAAATATTTTGATGAAAGGCAAATATAAGGCAATAAAAGCTAACAAGAATATTGGAGAAAGGAAACAATCGCTTTTGTTCCTGGATTTAGTTTCCTTCTTCATAAGTTAGGGATAATTAACTCGCATCCGATATATTTCACAATTATTATTTTAAAGTATTTACTGACAAGCAACCACTCGTCCTGCGACAGAGTTACAACCATTAAGAAATGTATTTTCCCGGCCCTCAAGAAGTCCAAACTGCCAAACACGCCACGCTGCCTTATTTAGGCTTATCTTATTAAGGGTATGGGTGAGAAAGCAGTTAATTCAGTCACGTGAGTAGAAGAGGGGTTCTCAGGGGAATATAATAGGGTGGTCTTTCGGAAACATGGGAACAATCCCTCAAGAAACCCACGCTCCGCCACGCTGGCGGACGCCGTGGTTGGCCCAGCCCCGCTCCAGATCCAGAATGATGGCGCCATAGGCACACGCAGAAGGGCGCGACCACGAGGGCCCACTACGGCTTGCCAGATCCCCAGACACACCTCGGAGGTCCAGCTCTCGGTCCCGTACGGCGTTGGTGTACTGCGCCGCCTGCTCTATCAGCTCCGCGGTCAGCTTTACCATCCTGACGGCACCCGCCTCCCGGCTCTACAACCCAGTGTTTCCCGCCGACGAGACGCCCCAGCCTGCCCCGCGCCTCGCCGCCAGGCAGCACCAATCGTAGCAGGCGCATGCGCTTGCACCTCGACAACGAAGCAGAAGCAATCGAAAGGCCACGCCTCCGGCTCGTTCTTTCCGAAGGGCCTGGCGCACTTTGAGGACGTAGCTAGGTTCGAGTTAACTTCCTGGGCCGTAGTTGGCGTATGGTGGCACCCTGATTCGAGGCATATATGTGTGATGATCAAAAGCTGGTGATGCAGCTCCGGTTCTCATGTTGTACCGTGGGCCAAAGGCCAGCACCAGGACAGGAACCATAAGTTCTGGACCCTTTAGTGAATCCCACAGGTCCCCTCCTCCTGAGTGGAGCTAGGACAGCTGTAGCTGTCCTCGTGTGTATTGTTCATTTCAATAACTTCTTTAAGTGCCTATGCCAGTCTCTTGCCCAGTTTCCCCCTTTATTGGGCTGTCTGACTATTATTATTGATTTGTGGGAATTATTTATATATTCTGAATATAAGCACACTCTGGCCTGTCTTGGGAGCTCTGGTGGCCTAGTGCCTAAGGCATTTGACTGCTAACCAGAAGGCTGATAGTTCAAACCCACCAGCCACTCCTCAGAAGGAAGACTGGGCGCCCTACTTCAGCTGGCTTGTCTATTTCACTTTTAATGATGTCCTTTGATGATCAGAAGTTTCTAATTTTTAAGTAATCCAGTTTAGAAGCTCTGGTGGCATAGTGCCTAAGGCATTTGACTGCTAACCAGAAAGCAGGCGGTTCAAACCTACCAGCCACTCCTCACAAGGAAGATTGGGCAATCTACTTCCTTAGTGATATCGTCTCCAAAAGGCAAGGAGGGGTTGCATGAGTCAAAATCTACTCCAGGCTAGGGGACTGCTTCTGTGGAGATATATAGTTTTGGAAACCCTATGGGGCATTCTACTTTGTCCTGTAGACTTGTTTTGAGTGGGAATCAGGTTTGGGCAGTTCTACTTTGTCCTATAGAGTTGCTATGAGTTAGAATTGGGTTTGGTTTTTGTGGTTTCAAACAGAAACTTATTACGCTTCAGTAATAACTATATGTTTTCCGCTCCCACCTGTCACTGGTAACCACTAATGAACTTTGGTTTTTATGCATTTGCCTATTCTAGATATTTCATATAAGTGGGTCATACAATATTTGTCCTTTTGTGTCTGACTTATTTCACTTAGCATAATATCTGTTTGAGTCTCTGCATTCAATTTTTTTGGGTATATATATATATATATGTGGAATTACTAAGTCATGTGATAATTGTATGTTTAACTGTTTGAAGAATCTCTAAATTATTTTACATAGATGCCATACCATCAATACCATTTTACATTTTCATCAACTTCTCCCCATCCTGATCAACACTTGTTATTTCAGTTTTTCTGATATTAGCCATCTTAAAGGATGTGAAGTGGTATTTCATTTTCATTGCATTTTCCTAATAATTAATGGGTGGAAAGGCCTATTGATCTATATTTGAATATCAGACAATGAATACCCTTTGGATCATAGCAGTCTCATCTAAAACTGTTTGTGGGGATGGTGCAGGATGGGCCAGTGTTTCATTCCATTGTTCATGGACTCACCATGAGCTGGGGATCATGGTGAGATGATGGCGACTAACAACAACAACCAAAATTAACAATGTTGAACATCTTTTCATGTGATTACTGCCATGTGCCTAAGGCATTTGACTGCTAACCAGAAGGCTGGAGGTTCAAACCCACCAGCTACTCCTTGGAAGGAAGATTGGGTAATCTACTTCCCTCATAATACTGCCTCAGAAACCCAAGGAGGGGTCACTATGAGTCGGATCAAACTCGACCACGGTGTTTTTTTTTTTTTTTAATATCTTCTTTGGAGAAATGTCTGTTCAACTCTTTTGTTTTTAAATTGAGCTGTTTTTGTTTTTTTGTTGATTTGTAGGAGTTCTTTATATATTCTGGATAATAAGCCCTTATCAGATGTATTGTTATCAAATATTTATTTCTATTCTGTGACTTGTTTTTGTTTTCTTGGTAAAGTCTGTATAACACAAAAGTTTCAATTTTGATGAAGTCATTTATCTATTTCCTCCTTTGTTGCTTGAGCTTTTGCTGTCATATATAAGAATTGTCAAAACAAGGTTTTGAAGCATTACTCCTATGTTTTCTTCTAGATTTTTATGAGTGTAGTTCTTATATAAGGTCAAAGTTTTATTTTCTTAATTTTTATTGTGATTTGGGTTAAAGTTTCCAGAGCAAATCCGTTTTCCAAACAGCAGTTCATACACATTTTGTTTCATGACATTGACTGCAATCCCCATAATGTAGCAGCTCTCTTCCTACTTCCTTCTTGTATTACCTCTTCCTCTGTCCTTCTTTCATATGAATTCCTGCTCCCTGAGCTATCTCCCTGTGCAAATACTGCTCTTATAATCTCCCATGACTGATTGTTCTAAAGAGTGTACCTTCCTGGTGTAAATGTTCACCTTATATAACTGTCCGTTGATTTGCTGGAAACCATGGGAATAAGTAAAATTCCAGGCCCGAAGGGTGACTAGGGGCCATAGTCTTAGGGATTTCACCAGTCTCTATCAGACCAGTAAGCCTGGTATTTTTTTTTTTTCAAATGATTTTGAGTTTTGTTCCACATTTTTCTCCCACTCCATCCAGGATCTCCTGCACTGATCTCTTTCTGAGTGGTTGACAGTGTACTGGGCACCAACTAGTTCTTCTGGTTTCACAGTTATGTAGGCTGAGGTTCACATGGTCCAATAGTCCCATGGACTAATTGTTTCTATGTGTCTTTAGTTTTTTTCATTCTTCTTTTCTCAGATAAGGAGAAACAAATTGTTGCATCTAGATGGACACTTGCAAGCTTTTAAGATCCCATTTGCTACTCACCAAAGTAAGATGTAGAATGTTTTTTTGTAGTGTGTTATGACAATTAAGCTTGATGTCCCTCCCCGAATTGTGAGCTTGGTGCAGGACCAAATGGTGTTTCATTCTGTTGTACATAGGGTCACTATGACCTGGAGCTGACTCAATGGCACCTAATAGCAACAATGATAGTGAACATTTCTTCATGTGTTTGCTGGCCACCTGAATATTTTCTTTGGTGAAGTGTGTGTTCATGTCTTCTGCCCATTTTTAAAATGGATTGCTTGTCTTTTTGATGTTGAGGTGTTGGAGATTAAGTCCTTTGTCAGATATATCATTGCCAAATATTTTTTCACAATCTGTAGCTTCCCTTTTGACTCATTTGCAGAAGCCTTTTGAAACTCAGCGGTCCCAAGCTCATAGGTCAACAACTCGTTCCCTTAGGGTGGTTGGCTGTGGCTAAGAAGTTATCATAACTTTGTCCCCTGTTGTATTTATATGGACATTCTTACAGCACATGCAAATATGTATGTAGGAATATTGTCTGCCAACCTTTTATATAGTCATGGGTATATTCCCTTATGCCTAAACATAACTGATCATTCATCCTGTTTACCTATGTATCTATTCTTAGATTAATGTTTATTACTGATAATGCAGTATTGTATATGTAAAACTATTTCTCTCTGTTGTTTCTACCTCATCTGTACCCCTCTGCGTCTTCTCTTTCCTTAGTATTATTATAGTGTTGGTCACTCACTTTTGGTATATTGCCTTTTCCTTCACCCAAATCAATACTTGTCTCTTATGTATGTAGCAATTTTCCTTCCCCTCCTGGTAACCAACAAAGAAAGTTTCCTTCCATATATAAACCTTCCCTTGACTTTTTGCAATAGTGGACTAATACAATATTTGACCTTCTGTGATTGACATATTTCATCCAGCATAACATTCTCCAAGTTTATCCCTGTTATGCAGTGTTTCTTGGATTTTTCAGAGAAATTTATCTTAGGAAAATGGCTCACACACTTATAGAAGCTGGCAAGTCCAAAGTTCTTGGATCAAACGTCAAGCTGGAGGCTTTTCCCAACTCTTGCAGCTGCAGGGTCCGAGGAGCTCAAGGTTGGCAGGCAGTACACTGGCTGTTTACTCCAATGAATGACAAATCCAAGATCTCCAGGCTGAATGGTGGATTTTTCACTCACGGACAGTTGTAGGCAGCACAACAGAATCCTGATCCACAGAACAATGTCTCTTTTCCCAGGGTGTCCATAAATATACTGGAAGCAGGCCACACTCCCAGCAAAACTCCCTTTCCATGAATTGGCTGCTCAAAACATATTCATCTGATCCCATCATGGGAATAACCACATCACAACTGCTTAAACGGCACAGAATTATGGTCTAGCCAAGTTGACACACAGCTCCAACTATCACAGTGCATTTTAGGTTATGCTTGATAGTCTATTTATGCCATAATTAGGGCCCCTATGTTTGCACCTATTTTTCCTTTGATCAGTTTTATGGTTTTAGATTTCAATGTAAGTCTTTGATCCATCTGGAGTTAGTTTTTGTGTATGGTGTGAAGTGTGGATCATGTTTCATTTTTCTGCAAATGGATATCCAGTTTTGCCAGCACCAGTTGTTAGACTATCTCATCCCCATTTAATGGATTTAAGTCCTTTGTCAAAGATCAGCTGACCATAGGTGGGCTTTCTATTTCTGAGTTCTCCATTCTGTTCTGCTGGCCTGTGTGTCTGTCATTGTTCCACTACCAGGCTGTTTTGACTACTATGAGTGTATGGTATGTTTTGAGATCCAAGATTGTGAGATCTCCTTCTTTGTTCTTCTTCAGTAGTGCTTTGCTTATCTGAGATCTCGTTCCTTTCCATATAAAATTAGTGATTGGTTTTCCCATGTCCTTAAAGAATGTTGATGAGATCTGCGTTGGGATTGCATTGAATATATAGATTACTTTGGGTAGTATTGACACTTTCATAATGTTCAGTCTTCCTATCCATGAGCATGATATGTTCTTCCATTTATGTAGATCTCTAATAGTTTCTTTCTTTTTTTTCTGTGATCTGAGAAGATGCTTTGCAGTACTTCAATGTTTTTAAATTTATTAAGGCTTGCTTTATGGCC